GAAGCCTGAAAAAATCAGGGCTTCAATGGGATTCGAACCCGTGACCTCCGCGATACTGGTGCGATGCTCTACCAACTGAGCTATGAAGCCACACATTTGTGTGTAGAGCATCGCACCGGTATCGCGGTCACGGGTGCGAATCCCATTGAAGCCCTGATTTTTTCAGGCTTTTTCTTTCCAATTGCTTAAATTGGAAAATTGACTGCAATGATCATTCTTCACTTTCATAACATCCAGCTGTTTAAATCTCTACAGGTACGCACTGTATGAGCATTATACTATAACTTGTTTGTATGAATGTGGCTGGAACCATGACTTAAGTAATAGGAGACGCCCACCAGTATGGGAGTCCTCCATTAGCAGAGGTCCAACTGTAAGGATAGTGAAAAAGTGTCATGGTCAAATAGCTGAATCTGTCAATACTTGCAGGCACATCTTTACAGCAATGGGGTGACCCTAAAACGCTACCTGGAGGCTATTCTCTTACGTCAGCATGTAACGACACCACCTATTACCTGCCTATTCCACTGCGCTGTCTACGAAGTGTAGAGATGAGTGGAGAGACGGGTGTGCGTGGGGAAATNTAAGTTAACTTAAATACATGTAGTAATCAATTTCCTGGAGAAAATTTTGTAATTTTGTAAATTTTTTGGAATCTTGGAAAACTCCTGTAAGTGGCCAACATTGGAACCAGGAAAGTGTCCAGTTAGACAGGTCTTCTATAAGAGGTTATGGGAGGCACAGTGGCTTAGTGGTTGGCATGCCAGACTTCGAATCAAGATGTCTGGGTTAGAACCCTGGCCAGGGTCATTGCATAGTGTTCTTGGGCAAGTCAATAAACTCTCACATGCCTAGATCTTCCCCACCCAGGTGTATAAAATGGGTATGAGGAATTTAAATACTCCTAGTTGCTTATGCTAAGGAAACCAGGATAAAATCCAGCTGTTTAAATCTCTACAGGTATGTAAGAGATTTAAAATATAGCTTGTTTGTATGAATGTGGCCGGAACCATGACTTAAGTAATAGGAGACGCCCACCGATATGGGAGTCCTCCATTAGCAGAGGTCCAACTGTAAGGACAGTGAAAAAGTGTCAAGGTCAAAATAATAGCTGAATCTTTCAATACTTGCAGGCACATCTTTACAGCAATGGGGTGACCCTAAAAAGCTACCTGGAGGCTATTCTCTTACGTCAGCATGTAACGACACCACCTATTACCTGCCTATTCCACTGCGCTGTCTACGAAGTGTAGAGATGAGTGGAGAGACGGGTGTGCGTGGGGAAATATCAGTCCATGGTGCCCCTCCATGTTGCTGTGGACTGTGCGGATTCTGTGGGGTATGAACATGCTTTAAGTTCTTTAAAGTCCAGTAGTCAACATACGGATTTGTGTGACATCCATGCATTTTTGTGTTTGTGCATGTTTATGAGAATTTTCTTATTTTACAGTACCAGTTGCATAAGAGAATTGGTTGAAAGAGGACATGACAATTTGTCTTTAAAGATCTTTGAAGTTTGCAATTCTAATGGGCTATATTATTTTATTATTCTCTACAAAACTATAACAAAGACCTATATATGCCTGCACTGTACAGCCACCTGTGCATGAAATGGTAATGGCCTAATATAATAATTATAGGCAAATGTGTGCAAAGGGCTACAACCACATAGTTTTTGTGATTGCAGAGCTCTAGTGATGTAGTAATTATATGTATGTTAGAAATAGTTCCCTGTTGGTATCAAATGCATGCAAATATATTAAATAGGAACTCATTTCATACACAATTTATTAGTGTTAAAATTGTGTATCTACAGAACACAAGGATTTTGTTTATTTTGCATTTTTCTTATTATTTCAGTTAGCCTGCTGTCCAAATTCAGACATGCTGAAGCAGTGGAGGCCACAGCCTGTCAGCCGCAGTCAAGTGCAAGAGATGAGAGTTTGCCTTGGTGTGCTGATGCCGCCCTGGGAGTGTAAGATGTTTCTTAACATTCACATTGATCCCAGTGTACCATTGCCTGTGACCAGAGATTTTGTGGCCCTGCTGCAAAAGAACGCTCCTGAACTAAGCTAGATTAGTGTGAGCGAGTGCTGTTTAAGACTAACTTTGATAGAATGGCAACCTCTCTAGTTGTTAACATAGTTTGGAATTTTAGTGTTGTTCTGAAACTGTTAATTTGACAAGTAGCTCACTGAGGTTGTTTCATGGTAGAACAAAATAATATGGCGTGTGAGGTGCATGCATGTTTATCAATGATAGTGTCAACATGTACGTTTGTTGTGGATAGATGTGACAATGAAGTTATTTGTCTTTTGCACATGTGCAATATCCAAGTGTTTCTACACCTGTGCCTCAAAAATCCACAACACAACCAGTTATTTTTACTGTGGTGCAGACAAGTACAACTTGCTGTGGGTGAAGTTAATCTGTCATACAATTGGGCTATTTCTTATTTTTATTACTTTAAGTTTCCATTAATTTTGACCAAATTTTCTTTTGCAATAATAGGGAAGTGCACACAAAGTTTCCATAAATATTGTCATAGGTTTAACTGAACTGAACTGAACTGAACTGAAACTACCAGTAACTTTAAAGTCTTTGTGCTTAATGTAATTTTATCTCAGTTGAGTGGTGCACAACACATCCCATACTATTATTTTTCTTATCTGCTTTCAATTTCCAATTTGTAGACTGAAATGTAATAGCATTCATGCATGTTAGAGGCTGAACTAGCATCTCCCATAACCTTGCCACCTTCTTTTATGTTGAGGAATCAGTTCACTAAGTGTGAAAATCAGTTGTTGAGGAATCAGTGTCAGACCTTCAGTACACTTCTGAGTGGGGATTATTGCAGTTTTGATTTTAAAATACATTATTACAAGACATTGTAGGACTATCTGGTTTACCAATTTGCAGGCATGTTCACTGTGTACCTCGAGAAACAGTCCATCATCTTGCACATCAAGATAAGTTACTTGATGCTAGGATGAAAGGTTAACATGGACAATTCATGTTTTCAGCCTTTTTTGCATTGTTGGGCTGCCTTTGCAGTTATGTACGTTGACTTATAGGAAAACCCTTAAAACATGATAACCCAGGCAGAGACTTCAATTTCTACTCCTGAGACTAGTGTGGTCAAAATTAAGCTAGATATCTAGTATATGTAGTAACAACTACTTCTCTTACTAGTGGTATCAATAACGTTTGTAGGATAATGTATGATCAACATGTGACGTTTTTGAATGTTCTGTGTCTATTAGACTATTAAATGAATTAAGTTGTCATACAAAGTCATGTGAAATGACTATTAAATTTGCATTTTTCAGATATAGTTTATTGTCTTATTGCCTTATGAACATTAAATATTATGTGTAGAAAAGGTTTATTAGCAGACACTAGGTGCATAGTAAATGCAATGGAGGGTGTTATCTCTTAACTGGATTACTGAAAGGGTTGGTCTTTTGTTTCGCTAAACAATAAAATTAGGGAAGCATCACATTACACTGTAGTTGCTAATTGATGGAGTGGATACAAATATAATAGTCATTAATTAAAATTAATAATGTACCATCTACTTTTAAATGATTGGATAGGACGGTGTAAATCGCATAATTCAAACAATGAGTACATGTATTCTGCTAAAGTCATCTATAATCATTTATAGCAGAATAGAATAACATATTACATTGGAGGTTTCACTAATAATGTTATAAACCTATTATTTAATAATTTTCTACTACTTACATTGTTACTGGATATCGTGTTGTGCCATTGTGTGTGAGTGGTTAAATTCTTTTACTTTTGCCTTGCTTGTAAGAGGTTACATGAACGTTTAATTAGGCACTACTAACATGTTTCATGCACTAGAAATTGACGTTATGCAGATCACTGTTTAGCCAGAATTACTGTTTGTGCTGTTTTTGTCTTTCTCCATGTTTTTCTTGATTGGTTTGTATGAAGTTTTGATGGAGCTGCATTCCTTTTTAGGAATGGGTTTTTTCTGGCTTGTTCTGATTTTTTTTCGTGGTTTATTTGTTTCTAAATGTTTCTTTGTTTGATAGTTTGTTCGGGTTTTGTTTGTTTGTTGTTTGGAGGGGGCATCAGGGTAGGATTAGGAATTATTTCAAGAAAGGAAACTCATTTTCAATTTATAACTATATTAATATATTAATTAATTGAAATGCATATACATAATTTGTATTTCATGTACTTTGATTCAACAATTGGCCAGATAGTTAACAACAGTACCTGCAATCAACCTACAGTACCTCACTAAATAAAGATTTCTTTGATCATAGTATCAGTTCTTTGCAGCTTATTTGTTTATCACATTTTAGTTTTTTTTGTTTTTTGAGTTTCTTTGTAATTTTTGTAAGGATGTTAGATGGACTAAACATTCTTCTGAGAGCATGTTATTTGTGGTGCTTCATAACACTACACCATTAAAGACGTGCAGCATTTCCCTAGCCCACAAAGTGCCATGAAATTTTTAAAATATCTAAAAATACATCAATATATGAAATAGATTTAGTAAACCTAAATCTAAAATTCATTCACTTATTCCACTTCACACATTATGACTAGAATTATTGCTATTAAAAACAACTTAATTTGGACCAAAGGTCACCTTATTCAGAACACTGGTCACAAACCTAAACAATGCACACGAGGGAAGCTATAGAGAAGAGGCTGTTTTTTATGTAAATCAATTTCACCTGTATTGCATAACTAACATGTAGCCCGAGAGACATAACTGGATATCGAAAGTGAAAAAAATAAGATTATTTAAAACACAGTCAAAGATGCAAATTTTATACATATTAGGTATTTTCAATAGCAATAACTTACACCAGGCCAGTTTATGTAAAATAATGAAAAGGAAAATAATATGTTATTTACTTTCAATTGATAATTGTTTCCTCAAAATCATGCATTAAGCAGTAATACCATTAACTGTATCCTGCAATAGCACAAAACCATGTCATGGCAATTTTTAAAAATTATTGGAAATAATTATGTTTTATCATGTAAGTACTAGTGTTAGAGCTCTCTCACTAGATAACATAAAAGTGAAAAAAATTAATATGCTTTTCTGTAAATGATTTCAAAGCACTAAGACATTAATTTTGATATACTTATTAACCATCAAATGGGACAGCTGGAAAGCCATGTGTGCCAAGGTTTTTAACTCTGAAAATGGAGCCTGCCAAGGGCTGTGCTTTCCTTTCTTCTGGAGACAATCGGAAACTAAAATGACAGGAGATATTAAATAAGTCTTTGTGCAAGACCATGTGATGAGTGTATATCAGCTGATTCAAGAGAGAATTGAGTGTGTAATCTGAATCTGGAGATAATCTCAAACTGTAAAGAAAGGAGACCTATATTTTAATTGTACAACTTTGTGCAAGACTACATGATGAATGTACTACATATATGCCAAATTAGGTGAGTATCTGAATCTGGAGATAATCTCAACACTCTTGTGCATGACCATGTGTTGATTGTGCGCTGAATCAGATTTCTGATGGTTACAAGACATCTAGTTACATTGTACTGTAAGTTATGCTTAGAGAATACATTACACAGTATCTCTACTCCATCACATGAATTGTTAAAAATACATTAATGATGCTTCAATGCATCTGTAATTGAAAAGAATAATTTTATCATCATTCCTGGGAAAATTCTGACTGAAAGAACATTACATATTAACAGATAATTAGGCAAAGAATAGTTTAAGGCACAAATGGTAATAATTATACATACATTCCACAGCAAAAGGCCAAAATTATAGTTAGTATGAATTTATAACAAACAAACTGAAACTGTTTAAATGCATGAATTGTTATTGAAATCAAAATAAAAAAGCTGAATTTTCTACCTTTCACATGTGACAAAGAGTTCATCAAGGTTTGGACCACCCCAGCAACAAGACGTCACCTTAGCAACAGGTAAAACTACTTCACGAATGACGTCACCAGTAACTGGATTGAAACAAACAACCTAGTACATGAAAATAGCATGAGATTTAATTCATAAGGCTTACTGTATGCTTCCATGTTGATGTAGTTGTATTAAAAGATAAGGGCAAGGTCAGTTAGCCAAGTACAAATATTTCCTTCTAGAGAATTAGCCCTATGTCTGGCCTTGTAACATTGCCACACTGAAAATTATAACATATTGCATATTTTCACAAAATTTTGCACCTTACATAAACGATGCACTTGACTTACTTTCCATCCATCATACATAGCAACCCAAAGCATTCCTTCTGCATCTATTGTCATCCCATCTGGAAACTAAATTTAGTGTGTTCATTACAAAATAGCTAGCACACTACATTAATATATAGATTTAGGCCAGCCTAAAGGCGTAGCTCCTGAGCCGGGTTGTTCAGAGCCAAATAATCCAGGAAAAGGTAAAATTTCGATTTGATTTTTGTAACTTTGCGCTGAGGTTTTCTGTATATTGTTTGGCCTTCTGTTGTGAGTTTTAATAATCACTATACACACAAAACAAAGCAGCAAAAAACATTTGTATAGAAGAAAATTGATCATAACATGGATGTCCAATATCAAAGAAGTACACGGTAAATCAAGGCTGCATGTCTCAGTCAACCGATTATTTGGAGTATGGCCGCCATGTTGCGCGACTCCGTCGTCGTCGTCGTCGCCGTCATGCGTACACGCCCACGAGCAATACCGCTAGCCATGATGACCATGGGAAAATCAACTCATGGGTTTCCTTTTCTTTCCTATATGAGTATGGGCCTCCGCTTGGCGACCCTTCGGGCCGCCGGAGCTCCGCTATTACATGTATCATTACATGTCATTATGTCATGTAATAAATTAACTTATAATTCACACATGAGTTCACACCTCACAAATGTGTTGCATCGGACAGTAAATAAATTTCTGCAATTTTATCAATCAAATTAATGACAACCTACAGCACTTGATGGTTATTAATTAGGAGTATATACATGTAATACATATATATGTACATACATACATGTAATAATTAAAAAAGTTAAAAGAATGGTGAATTATCAATGTCAATTCTTAGTTTCTTGGTTGTACACACTGTATTAAGGTACAGGTAAAGTCTGCATACAAGCCAAGTGGCCCACCAGGCCAGAACTTATCCTGGTTTCTGTAGCATGAAGTGATTAGGAATATTTCTACTCCCAACTGACAAGGATGCTAGTCCATCGCAGGGTCACCCGCAGCATTAAATTCACCCGCACCCATTTATACTCCTGAGTGGAGAGAGGCACTATGAGAGTAAAGTGTCTTGCCCAAGAACACAATACAATGTCTCTGGCCAGGGCTCAAACCTGGATCACTCAACCCAGAGATGAGCGCACTAACAATGAGGCATGTACTACAATATTGTGTGTATTTGTGAACATAATGTCTTTGAAACATTTCAGCTTAAATTGCTTGATCTAGTTAACTTTCTCACATATTTCAGTAAAGTAAAAATGGGCAACAAAAGTAGTTGCTCAAGACATGTTAAGAAAATGACCCTTTTCAATATTTAACCTCTTATTCTATTTTACTTAGCATTAATTCCCTGATAGCCCCAGCCCCCAATTCAATCTCATGTAGGCACTGTGCACTCTAACAAATAGAAAATCAACGTTGTTTGGGGGGAAAGGAGGGAAATGTTTCCAAGATGCTCGAAAATGAAATTTTACTGCCAAGTCTCTTGAAACACTTTTGTCCCTCATTGTACATGTAGCTTACCCCAAGTGAGGGATCATTCTTCACTGCAGTTCTTCTATTTGATATTGTACCAGCTTTTTCATCGTAATCAAAAGCATATATTGTTCTAAAACAAACAAACAGTTTTAATTAAAATCAATTTATGAAAGTGAGAATTTATAATTACAATTTTATTTTCCAGTAGGTACTACTTTTAATTATAATAAATTTGATCCTTTTATTTACAACACGACACAAAACAAAACCTACATGTCACTTTAACACAGAATAAAGTACTGATCAATGTTTGCACCTGAGAAATGAGTCAATGTAGTAAAATGTCTTTCTGTCCAAGCTCCATGTCATACCATTCGATATTGTAATCTACACATTAAACCAAAAAAAGTAAAATAAAATAAATGTACATTGTAACTTGGTACCCAAATAAATGCAGAAAAGTTGCTCTTCAGATCAAAGGATTGCAAAGCTAAATGCCACCTGACACAGACTGATGCCACAAATAAATTTAAGAGCAATGTGGAAAATAAATTAATTGGCATTAAAGTGGTATATTTGCTGTGTTTGAATTTCTGGGTCACTGTTTTACAATGTCTTACCCTGTATTGTATATTTTGGGGATCCTTAGGCATTTTTGGAGAGGTATAAAATTAATATAAATTAATCTAAGTTCCTAGTCATGAATTTCCATTAGTATAAAAAAAAATTATCTTTTTTTCGCTCTATTTTTTTTTTTTTTTTTTTTT